GTTCATGCAAGACTGATGATAAGTTTGAGCGTGTGGACGGGCAACCGACTAATTGGTCAAACTTTTACTCTATCTCAGTCTATATTGATGATGAGAGCTGTGACATTGTTCCTCTCTAGCTCTAGTTTTTCATATCCCAGGATATCCGACACTGGTTTCACAATTTATTTTGGTGAGATTATGGAGTTATATCGTAGTTTCCCATGTTTATGGTAAATTCGATCAAAAAGGTACAGTGACAAGAAGTTAAGAACAATAGAGCACTGGCCTATGCGGCATTGATCGCTAAGTGCAAAGAAGCAGAGACTTTGTAACGAAGAAAATAAACTCTTTATCGAAAAGAATGTGCCAAAATAAAGTCGTCAATGCTGTCCGGTGCTGGTAGGGATACTGTCTATCAACCCTCATTGTGCTATTTTTAAAAACCATTTTCGGGACCACCGCGTACGTTTGCATCGCTTTAACCTAATTATGGTGGCACAAACTGCGCTCACTGCAGTGAGCAGCACTATATTATTCAATGTCAAAAGTAAAAAATAGTTTTTTAGTAGATCTAGACAGTTTTTAATCTATCTATCCTCGCCCAAAAGCAAAGAACATTTCTAATTCTAATAACGGCATTAACATTATTGGTGGGTGATTAACGTGCAAACGAGGAATCGCAGCGGCGTGAAGCGAATCCTGCATGGCAGGTTTCGCTATTCTGGAACTTGATGATTTTGTCTGGAACAAAAACTGAGGAAATGATGCGTTTAGTAGCATGAGTGTTAACAGCGGTGACACTCAATATGTCCAACATTTACAGTAGAAATGTAAAAATAGTCTGGCGTATCCACCTCTCTGCGTTCGAGTTTACCTTCAAACAGGCAGGAAATTTTAGTATTTATCGTTTAGGGATTTGTTTTGTACTTTTGCTTTGCCATGTTATCCACCATGCACGGATGTACTATATGTGTTTTATTTGGTCTGTTCATTTGTGATAATCCTTCAGTATGTGTCGATAAAATAGAATTTGTTACTGGTAATTAATTTGGAATAGTAGTATTTATATTGGTGTATTATTTAAATCTGCCAAGTTTGCGTTATATTCTTCTTTGTTTGGTTTAGCTCATTAAAAATTCTTAGTTTTTATTTTATTTCGGAATTTGCAGAAAAGCTCCGAACCGGAGATTCTATCACGGTTTAATAGACAAAGGCTAGAAAGACACACAGTTTATATTTTTGTATTTGTAAATTTAAAGTTTCGTTCGTTAATACAGTTTTCAGTTATAAAATTTTTCAAACTTACATGCAATAATATTATTATTGTTGGCCGTACGATCATTATCCGAGTTGGTGTGTCCCGGGACCGCAACAAGTCCTTTGCTGAAGGTAGCCAATAACAAAAGGCTGATTATGTGCCAAAATTAACGATATTATTATTTTAAAAACTTTGCAGCCATCACCGTACTAGGTGTGAAAGGAGACGCTAACACCTCCTATCAAGGCAGCCTGGCATAATAAATTCGCTATCATGCTCGTAAATAACACGTTTTGTTCACAGCGAGCAGCTCTAGGGATAATAGTAAGCCGTGACCTGATGTGAAGAATTTACTGATTGATTATGTAGATTTGCAACATCGATGTAAAGCGACAGTAATGCGACTGAGCTCGCATAGTCCAGCGTGCGGTGCCATCAAGAAAGTTCTACATTAACCGGCATAGAAAGCTGAAGCATTCATCACAGCTCACATGAAACATTCATCACAGCTCACATGAAACATTCATCACAGCTCACACGAAACATTCATCACAGCTCACATGAATATTCTAAGCTCAATTTATAGCTGTTATCTGTAAAATCAGCAGAAGAATTCTCCAAATTCCTCAATTTCTTGACCGCACAAAATCTCCTGTTAAAAATGAAAAGCCACTTCGTGCTCCAAATCAAAATATTTACATCCAATTCTTCAGCCTGCTTCCTTTTGTGATAAGTCAGAATTTAATTATTGTCATGATAGTTTGCGACAGTTTAAAAATATTGGGTTACTTGGAAGTTTAGAGTGCGAGACTTCAGCTTTAATTTCATTTTTTTGTTGACTAAATCAATTGCTGCAACTAGACTCCAACGCTTACTACTTTTTATCCATTCGAGACGAGACAAACGACAGGGTTTGTCCCGGCTAACAATAAAAACCGAGACAATTCCCAGCATTCCGTGGGAATTCCGGGGCAATATCGGGACGAGACGAGACGTCCCGGCTAAAATATGAGTTTTACAATTTCCTGGAATTTTCATGTTTTATAGCGAGATATAGCGAGACATAGCGAGACACAGCGAGACATAGCAAGACATAGCAAGGAATAGTGAGGCATACGAGACATAGCGAGACACAGCGAGAAATAGCGAGACACGGCGAGACATAGCGAGACATAACGAGACATACGAGATGTAGCCAGACATAGCGAGTCATAAGCGAGGCATTGCGAGACATGGCGAGACACAGCGAGACATAGCGAGACATAGCGAGACATAGCGAGACATAGTGAGACATAGTGAGACTCACACTAGTTAATCCCTAATGTGTAATTAAAATAGTAAATTGTTTCAGACATTATATCTAATCAAAATTTTGTCTGTTTACAACGTTCTATGAATATTAATTACTATGTAAAATGGCATCGCTTTTGCCCATCTAGCAAATGTAAAAGGCCAGAATGTATTGAAAACATATCTAATTGTTAAAAATTTCTGCGTCATTTCGTTTTGGATTAAAAAAACAAAATTTCACGCTACTGAACAGCTCACAATTCCTTCAGTTCTGAACGGATCTGCATGAAATTGAAAACATATCTAATTACTAGCCCGATTCCGTGGTAGGAATCGACGCAAATTTTTACGTTGCTTCGTTTTCAATTGAAACTACGGTCAGTACTAATAGTCACTAATTACCAGGCTATATAGTGGCCACGTGTACAGGGGTACTGCCTGCTTCAGGGGTTAATAGCGAATAGCGGCCAGTAGCTGCTCGTTGTGAGCCTACTTCCAGCCAAGAAGAATTTACGAGACATCTTCCATGTAATAATTATGCTTCATTTTAACAATCTATGGTGTAAATTAAACGACTGAGAGGTCAAACGAGCAAGTTCAGAGAGTGTAAGGTTGTACGATCTCCCCATATGGTTGGGACTAATTACATCATCTGCGGTAGACATACAGGTTGATATGGCATTGCTTTACTTGGGTGTAAACTTTGGCTTTGGTTAACCCACATCAAAACTCACGACGTATTTGTCTACTATTCTCATGTAGTCTGCGCCTCAGTACCCACAGAAACAACAATCGGGTAAAGCCGAGGTTAGATGTGGATCGACTGAGAAATGACGAGATGAGAAGGAAGTACTGCAGGGCAGTCATAAACAAGCTGGACACCACAAGGAACGAGAGTGATAACATAGAGGATATATGGGAGCAGCAGAAAAATGCCTATACAAAAGCGGCAGAAGAGGTGCTTGGGTACAAGAAAAGGGTGAACAAACCATGGATCAGCAACGATACTTGGAGGCTGATCGACGAGAGAAGAACTGCCAAGGTACGGGTAGAAAGCACCCGATCAGAAAGAATTAAAAACAGAATGAGAGAAGAGTACAGAGAAAAGGACAGGGAAGTGAAGAGGAGCGTAAGAGAAGACAAAAGAATGTGGATGTCGGAAAAAGCGGCGAAAGCACAGAACGCAGCAGAAAACGGAAGACAAAAAGAATTGTACAGTATAGTGAAGCGGCTGACAGGACAGAGTACCAGCACCAGGCAAACTGCAGCAGTGAAGAGTGTGAACGGGGAGCTGCTGAAGAGCAAAGAGGCCAGAATGGCTAGATGGAAGGAACATTTTCAGGAAGTTCTCAACAGAGAAGCACCAGAGGAACCACCAGAGGAAGTGGGAGAGGAAGGACAGGAGCTCGATATCTCAGTTGAGGCACCAGATGTGGCGGAAACAAGGGCCGCACTGAAGACCCTCAGGAATGGAGGTGCCCCTAGCTGGGCAGACGAAATTTCAGCCGAAATGCTTAAAGCAGATACCGAACGGACCAGCTTAGAGTTGAAGTGGATATTTGACTTGATTTGGGACCAAGAGACGGTGCCGACACAGTGGACCAAGGGACTCATTTGCAAAATCCCGAAACGAGGGAACCTTCAGGACTGTGGAAACTGGAGGGGAGTTACATTGTTGCCCCTGGCCAGCAAGGTGCTCAGCAAGATCCTCATCAACAGAATACAAGGTGGAGTGGATACATTGCTCAGGAAGGAACAAGCAGGCTTCAGGAGGGTGACGTCCAAGCCTTGTGCGCCGTATGGCGCGGAGAGAGCGGAACATGTATCGACTTTTACAATTCAATGAAGTCTCATCTTCATTGCAGATGTTCTCCAATTCGTCTAATGCCACATCAGAGTCCGTTAAGACCGGCATTATATTGTAGAGGATAGAAATCGTTCGACAATTCGATATAATGCAGGGCGATAATATTTGTTACAAAATGGTTTATTATTTTGAATTTGTTGTCATTTTAGTTTAGAGTTTACGGAAGGCTAAGTGCGGAAGGGGGAGGTGATAAGATTATTCTGTAGTATAAAGCCGGAGCGGACGTATGTGCTGTGTTAGGATGTGTATATGTAAATACACATGTGAATAGATTTGATGTAGAAAAATTGTCTGAATATTTAGGTTATATATTTATAAATACGTTAATTTTTGGCTTACCATTATTTATCTAATTTATTTGTTTCTTTTAGGAAAGCCTCGAATCTACAGTTAGACTAAAACCAAGAGTTGACTCAAGTCGAAAGTTAGTATCGAAGGCCAAGCACCTAAGATAGAAGTTACGAAGTGTTAAGGTGCTAATGTTATTCTTTGTTTATTATTTACTGTGTTCATTTTGAGTGGTGAAATAAAGTATTTTAATTATGATTCATCAGTGACTCGAACCTATACGATCATGTAGCCTTGTAGGCTAGTTGGGTAATCTGAGAGCCCCAACAATATTTCTAAAGCCTTTGAGCTAACCAGCGCCGGCACGAAGAAGGTATGTATCTACGCATGCCCGGTGTGTTGCCATCATTGACTTTGTAAATCTTGCCACACAGTTTGCAACGACAATTGTATTGGGTTATACCTCGGTTATCATGGGTCTTGCCTTTGTTTTGCTTCTCAAAATATTTCTAGTTACCATTACAGATTCGTGGCATCTTTCAAGGTTTGAGAAAGCCCACCCACGTTCTACCAAGCGGCTGACCGATAGACACTGAGTTACCGACCCGCAGTAAATCATGAAGCAAACTGAACTTGTATAGTTCTCGTTGCGTGCGAGTAAAAGCTCAACAGCAACATCATTCATCATTCACTAAATATTAAGTCACACATCGTCAAGTCTGCTCACTAAATTAACTGTCAAAGTAGTTTGGCAGTAAATGCCATGGAATCGCCCACGACTGGCAACTGCCCATCAACACTCAAGAATTAACTTTTTATTCCTTAACCACGCGTTCGGAATGTTCAGTTCTGTGTTCGTCCAGTGAGGAATATCTTGTTTTGACTTGAATATTTAGGAAATGTCTCTTTTCGTTACATCACGTCTCGTTTCTTATGCTCATACGTTTATTCCGGGACAAATTTTACCCATTGTCCCGCTATTTTTTTCCGATAATTTCTTATCTCTTCCCGATTGTCCCGGCTCATTTGGAGAGAATTATTCCGAGGCGCAGTAGTCTAGCTGCAACTCTGTAACCACTTCAAAACTAATCCTTCTGAAATTTAGAAGGAAGCGAGAATCATCTGCCCGACCGGCAGGTAATTGTAGCTCATTACCTTGTGACCTTAACCCGCGCAATTATGTACTCGATCATAGAAGTACAAAGTCCTCCACTTGCCCCTGATGAATTTTTTAACGGAGATATCGAAGTCTGACAACTGCTGTTTCCCAAGGGTGTCTTACCTTCACCTCGAGTATTTGTACTCATACCTAAGCGCATGAAGTTACCCTAATCTGAAGTACTTTCAACCGATTATTGTTACCGTTACCTGAATCTAGGTATCGGTAATCCTTACCTGAATCTACCGTTATCTAGACACAAACCAAATTTAGTAGCCGGGATTAAATTCCCTGTACCGCTTTTATTTGCATCTGACATAGGATTATCTTTTGACGGCTGCACTTGGGGAGTGCCACCGACGAGCATTGAGCCGCTATCCCCATCGACCAGCTCACTTGTTTGTTTCGTCCGTTAATTAAAACTCTTGAAATAGAAACTCGTTCATCCCACACTTGTCATTAGCGAAATCTGCCAGAGGTTTAAAAAAATCTAAAATATTATCTAAGATAATGGAATCTACCGCAATACATTTACTTTCATAATGAACATTGAATTGGGTGACATCGTTCATGGTAGACTATGCTGCTTTAATATCCGTGAACTGTTGTTCTGTTAATAACCTCAATGTTTTGCAATCCATGGCTTGAATTGTGTAATAGCCCAGTGAGCGAGGCTGTCGTTTTCTTGATTAGCTCTTGTCGTGAGGCGCAAAGGAAATAAGGCAATACAAGAAGATACGACAGATGAGGTCCCAGTATACAAGGTCCCGGGTATTTATACAAGGTCCCAGAAGGATTACTAGAATTTGAAACAAGAACCAACACCAGGGGCCAAGACTATAAACTAAAAAAACAGCGTTGGAACACATCCATGCGACAACATTTCTTCTCGCTTCGAGTCACCGACATGTGGAACAGCCTCCCTGATAGCATCGTTGACGCTCCCAGTATGAACATTGAAGTTGGAACCATGCCATATAGAAGAATATCTCTATTACTTATGAGCTTAATAGGTAACAATTAAAGGCACATTTTTAATCAGATGGCTCGATACTTGTGCAAAAAATAAAAGTGTTCGAGGTAAAAAAACCAATATTTGGATCTTCACCAAGAAATATACATATATTTTCTTATTGGGTCACACTGCTCAAAATTATGAAGAACTATTCGAATTAGCAGCTACCACTTTCTTGGTGTGCACCCTATTGCAAACTTTTTCATTTATTTCGAACACTTTTTGATTAAATTTCGAGTTCATTTAGAACAGTGGTTCCCAAAGTGGGCGATATCGCCCCCCTAGGGGCGGTGGAAAGATTTTGGGGGGCGGTTCGGAAGAAGAGGGCGTTTGGGGGCGATAAGGGGGGCGGCAGACCGAAGTCAAAGTCAGAAGTTCCAACGTACGTTTGTTTGACAATTTGTACAAAACACGTGCAGCACATAATGACTCCCAGCGATGTTTTTTTTCCAGATCTGTTTTTAGCGCATTTTCTCATTTATGGAAAAAATGCACTATTGTGCTCGCCATGTCCGTCCGTCCGTCTGTCTGTCTGTCCGTCTGTCCGTGACCTCAAGTTTTCGTCGACGAGAAAATGCGCTCTCTGTCACTCACTGCAGTGAGTACTGAGTTATATTTTTTAACCTCTCTTGGGTTTACGTCTTGGACAAATTAACGGCCGGACTCGCGGCCGGTCTCACGGCCAATTTCCAAATTCAATGATCAAGGAATATCTCTCAAACTAATGGACTTAACTCGATGAAACTTGGTACACGTATTCATTAGGACCTAACAATAATGTTTAGCTCGTGAAAATTGCTTGAATTTTGCCTTCATTTGTTTTTGCCATAGTTATATGGCAATACGGCTGAAATTCACAGTGAGCAAGGAATTTCTTCCAACTATTGAACAGATTCGAACGAAATTTTGAATTTTCAGTCCTAACTACCGAACGGTAATGTTAGCTCGTGAAAATTTATTCGATTGTGCCTTTGTTCGCGAGTTTTTTTTTTCATTTCACCTTCATTCGTGATTTAAACAGCAATACGTGCTTAAATTCGCAGTAATCAAGAAATTTCCTCCAAAACTACTGAATAGATTTGAACGAAACTTGTTATTTAAATACCTAACCTCAGCAACGGTGATGTTTAGCTCGCTACAAATTTTTCGTTTTGCCTTCGTTCGCGAGTTATACGCCTATAAGTATACGGATATTCGTAAACGGCTCTTAGTTAAACCGGCCGGTAGAAAAGCCGGTTGTTCCTCCTATATCTGTATAACTCGCGAACGTAAGCGAAATAGAAAAATTGTCACGAGCTAAACATCACCGTTGGGAGGTTAGGTATTTATATTCAAAGTTTCGTTGAAATCTGTTGAGTGGTTTAGAAGAAATTTCTTGAACGCCGCGAATTTAAGCGACAAATTATCCGGCGATACAGGCCGAATATAAGGGAGTATGAAATCAAGAATGACTGTAAAATGAAAAAAAAAATCGCAAACGAAGGTAAAATCGAAAAATTTTTAAAGCTAAAAAAATCACCGTTTAGTAGTTAGGAATGTATATTCAAAATTCCGTTCAATTTCAAATTTTCATTCAAATTATTTGATCACTGGGAATTTCGGCGTTTATCGCAATATAACTCACGAATGAAGGTAAAATTAAATTTTTTTACGAGCTAAAAATCACCGTTAGGTTCTGATGAATACATGTTCCAAGTTTCATTGAGCTGCGTTCATTAGTTTGGGAGATATTCCTTGATAATTGAATTTGGAGATGGGTGGTGCGACCGGCCACGAGTCAGGCCGGAAATTTGCCCGAGACGTCCAAGGGTTCTAGTGCTGAAACAGTTAAAACAGCTTAAAAACATATTGGTTCACTAAATGAGGTTCTATTTGTGAAATACACATTTGTGTTTAACCTTTATATTTTGAAATTGCAGCGTACTAAATTTCAAGAAAGAGGCGTATGTTTTTATATGTGTCTGTGGGGGGCGATAAAAATTCACTAGGGAGCCAAAGGGGGCGCCAGCCTGAAATAGTTTGGGAACCACTGATTTAGAACAACTTATGATTCATGTGAACGATTTCACGTTAATTTCGAACAGTTTTTGATACATGTGAACAATTTCGCTGTCTTTTCATTTTTATTTGATTTATTTTGTCGCGATCTGATTCACCTCTATTTTCGATAAATTGATTTCCTTAATTTGAGACCTCCATGCAGATTCATATACCTAACACACAATACAATTGTATTCGTCAATACTTCTCCAGCGCCATGATTTCGAGAAACTTTATATTAAAGTTTACTGTTTGTGGTCATGACGCCCGAAGCATATTTTGTACCACTTAATATTATTAACTCCTTGAAAATGTTTGACGTATCGGTTTAACTCCTATCTTATTTTGACCTCGGCTGTCGAGATACGGTAAGTGATCCCTGAGCTTTACTTACTGCTGCAGTGTGAATGATGGACAATTCTTCGTTAAATTAATTATGATTCCGTTCTAATTTATGGCTGGTTGAAAGGTTGAGTA